CCTCCTTTTGTTCTGTTATTTTCTAAAATATTACATTTCTGTATGTCATAGGCCACAAAGCACATTTTATAGAAATTTTGTTGTTAAATGAGTTAATGGAAGGAAAATGACCTTATGCAGAGCTACATCAGAATTCACTTATAAGACAAGTTAAATCTGTAATTGTATTTTTTTTTCCTTTTCTGTCTTTTTTACTGACCGGCAACGGGATCACAACAGGGGGGGGGGGGGGTACTAACGTAAATGGTGTTGTGTTTTTAATTTCAAATTCAATTGTTCATTGCTGGTATATAAGAAATTAATTTTTATCCTGAAACCTTGCTATAATTGCTTAATTTTTCCAGTTTTTTGGTTATTTTTTTTAACTTTCTACATGTTACCTGTGAACAAAGATAGTCTTAACTTTTTCCTTTCCAATCTGCATACCTTTTCTTGTCTTACTGCATTAGCTAGAAATTTCTGTATGATGTTAAATAGGACTGGTTAGAGGGGAAATCTGTGCATTGTTCCTGATCTTACTGAAAAAGCATCCAGTTACTCACCATTAAGTATAATATTAGCTGTAGATTTTTTCATAGATGTTTTTTATCAAATTGAGGAAGTTCCTCCCCATTTCTAGTTTGCTGAGAGTTTTTATCAATAATGGGTGCTGGATTTTGTCAAATGCTTTTTCTGCATATATTGACATGATCATGCAATTTTTCTTATTTAGCTTGTTGATGTGATAGATTATATTGTTTTTTCAAAGTTGAACCAGACTTGCGAACTTGGAATGAATCTTGCCTGTTAATTTGTTCCACTATGGAGACCATTTTACTATATATATACACATATGTATATGTATAACATCATGAGGTATATCTTACATACATACAATAAAATTTATTTATTTATTTATTTATTTAAATGCTTTTTCTGCATATATTGACATGATCATGCAATTTTTCTTATTTAGCTTGTTGATGTGATAGATTATATTGTTTTTTCAAAGTTGAACCAGACTTGCGAACTTGGAATGAATCTTGCCTGTTAATTTGTTCCACTATGGAGACCATTTTACTATATATATACACATATGTATATGTATAACATCATGAGGTATATCTTACATACATACAATAAAATTTATTTTTAAAAAATTTCACTTGGTCATAATGCATAATAATTTTAATATTGTTGGATTTGATTTGCTAATATTTTGTTGAGGATTTTTGCATCTCTACTCATGAGAGATACTGGCCTATAGTTTTCCTTTCTTATAATGTCTTTGTCTGCTTTTGATAGTAGGGTACAGCCTCAAGACAAGGTAAGAAGGATCCCCTTTGCCTCTACCCTCTGAAATAGTAAAGAATTGGCATAATTTCTTCTTTAAATGTTTGGCAGAATTCAGCAGTGAACCCACGTAGGCCTGATGCTTTCTGTTTTGGAACGTTATTATTGCCTCAATTTCTTTAAAAGATATGGGCCTATTCAGATTATTTATTTCCTCTTGTGTAAGTTTAGTAGATTGTGTGCAAAATATTTTAAATTTCTCTTTTGACAACCTCTTTGATCCATGAATTACTTAGAAGAGTGTTATTTAATCTGCAAGTATTTAGCTATCTTTCTGTCACTGGTTTCTATTTTAATTCCACAGTGGTCTGAGAGCATACTTTGTATAATTTCTATTATTTTAAATTTGTTAAGGTGTGTTTTTTGTTTGTCTATCTTGGTAAATGTTCAGTGTGAGCTTGAGAATAGGTATTCTGTTGTTGGTTGGATAAAGGATTCTATAGATGTCAATTAAATCCAGTTGATTAATGATACTCTTTGGCTCAACTATGTCCTTAATGATTTTCTGTCTGCTGAATTTGGCAATTTGATAGTTGTTAAGTCTCCAACTATAATAGTCTATTCACTTATTTCTCATTGTAGTTGTATTAGTTTTTGCCTCATGTATTTTGCTGCTTTGTTGTTAGGTGCATACACTTTAAGGGTCATTATGTCTTCTTGGAGAAAGGACCCCTTTATCATTACATAATGCCCCTCTTCATCTATGATAATTTTCCTTGCTCTGAAGTCTGCTTTGTTAAAATTAACATAGTTACTCCAACTTTCTTTTGACTAGTGTTAGCATGGTATATGTATTTTTCTCATTCCCTCTTTCTTCTCTGTCATGTCCACTCTACTGATGACCCCATCAAAGGCATTCTTCATTTGTTAGTTTTTTAGTTCTAGAATTTCCTTTTCAACTTTTTTTTTTTTTGGTGGCTGGTCAGTACGGGAATCTGAACCCTTGACCTTGGTGTTATAACACCATGCCCTAACAAACTGAGCTAACCAGCCAGCTCTCCTTCTGATTTTTTTCCCCATTTCTCTGCTTTTATTACCCATCTATTCTTGCATGTTGTATGCTTTTTCCCATTAGAGCTCTTAGCATATTAATCAGTTAGTTTAAACAACCAGTCTGATAATTCTAACATCCCTGCCATCTGAGTCTGGTAGTGATGCTTGTTTAGTCTCTTCAAACTGTGCTTTTTGTCTTTCATTTTTGTTGAATTTTGGAAATGATGTACTGGGTAAAAGGAACTCCAGTGAATACACCTTTAGTAATGTGATGGTAATATTGCAGGGTGGGGGGAAGGAAGGGGAATGTTCGGTAGACCTTTGATTAGGTCTTTGAGTGAGACTGGGCCCCTGGACTGTGACCTTTACAAGTGCTCAGTCTCTCTCCCAACTCCCATTTAGATGAAACAGGAAGGCTAGAGGGGGTTGGAACTGGGTATTTCCATTCCCCCAGTTGGTTAGACTGGTAAAACCCAATGTGATTAGGCTCTAGCAAGTTTCCTTTGAGGCCAGGCTTTTGTTAAGGAAATAAGAATTCTCTGGGCATATTTCAAAATGGTTACTTACCCCTACTCCTGCTAAAAGCACAGTAGATTTTTCTTTGATATTCACTGTGAGAATTTGGTGGGAGTCCTGGAAACAAAACTCACAAAAGTGAGCCTTCCTCCACTCCTAGAAGGCCTACCCTCCAAAAGTTTTTCTCTCAATTTAGTTCATGCTCAGTGTCCAGTAATTAGTCAATTACCCTTTAAGATTCCTATCCCAGCTGGGCTCCAGTGGTGGTTTCTGGGAAGATTCTCCTCCAGTTATACTGTGATTCTTTATATCTGCCTATATGTGTCCTGTCTTTAGGGTGGTGGTTTGTCCTGTAACCTCAGTTCTCTAATGGATCAAAGAAGAGTTGATTTTTAGTTTTTCATTTTTCTTTGTTAGGATAGGAGTTCTGATTTCCAAGCTTTTTACATGCCAAACTGGAAACTGGAAGTCCCTTGTGCTGATTTTTGAGAATAACATAGCTGGTTGTACCATTTTACATGACACCAGCAATGTGAGAGATTGTTTCTCCATATCCTTGTCAGCATTTGGTATTGTATTTTTAATTTTATCTGTTCTAATAGTATGTAGTGATATCTCAATGTGGTCTAAATTTGCATTTTCCTAATGACTAGTGATGTCAAACATTCTTTTTATGTGCTTATTTGCTATCTATATATCCTCTTCAGTGAAGTGTTTGTTTTTTGTCCATTTTCTAATTGAATAGTTTACTAACAGTTGAATTTTCAGAGTTCTTTATATATTCTACATATGAATCTTGCCAGACATGTGGTTTACAAATATTTTCTTTCAGTATGTATGTTTTTTCATCCTTTTAACAGGGTCTTTGGGGAACAAAAATTGGTAATTTTGATGAGGGCCATTTGCCAAGTTTTTCTTTTATGAATATATTTTGGTAAGAACTATTTAAAAGAGTTATTCACTAGGTCTGAAAAACTTTCTCCTGTTTTTTCCTAAAAATTTTACAAGTTTTATCTCTTATATTTAAATCAATGATCCATTTTTGAGTTGCTTTTTGTATAAGAAGTAAAGTTTCGGTGGAGGTTGTTTGGTTTTTTTCTATGAAATCCAATTGCTCCTCCAGATAACTAAATCTTATGAATCATCTCTATCACAAATTATCACTAAATAATCAGCTTATTTTAATTTTTGCTAAAACTAAACTGCTGAAAAGAATATCTTGACTGGAGGGCAAGATAGGATGGAATTATAATTTTTTGGCAATTAAAGGGAATTGAGACTTTTTCAATTGAGACTTTAAGCATCCAGAACTCAGCATGACATACCAGAAGGTGGGGGAACAAGGCTGTGCAAGGCAGGTTGAAAAGGAGTTAAGTTCAAAAAAACTAACTTCCCTTAATTCTATTCTTTTGCATAGAAATCGGATCACAGCAAACCCAAGTTTAAAACAAAACAAAACAAACCAAACCTAGAGAGTCAATTTGCATGCAAATTATGCTAAGGCATAAAGCATACCTTTAGGGGCCGGCCCGGTGGCGCACTGGATAGTGCGCCGCTTGGGAAGCGCGGTGGCGCTCCCGCCCGAGGGTTCGGATCCCACATACAGACCGGTTCCCGCTCGCTGGCTGAGCGAGGCGCGGGAGCAACACCGAGGGTTGCGATCCCGTTGCCGGTCCCCGGTCCGGTGCGGGGGCAACACTGAGGGTTGCGATCCGTTGCCGGACACGGAAAAAAGACAAAAAAGACAAAAAAAAAAAAAAGCATACCTTTAATAAGTGTTTCCCAGATTGTCGCCATTTGTGGATTACATTAACACATTTGCCCTGTCTGCTTACAATCACGTACAACTTCATGATTTTTGGCTTGGCCAGAAATGTAATTTCTTTAACATGTTTAATGGTATTAATATAATCATCAGGTGATGCTTTGGACACTGATTAGCACCCTATGTGAGGTATTATAAATAAAACCAAGACTCTTATCAGATTGTGATCACATATATTTTCCTAAAAAAAACCACAGCTTGACTTTACTGTGAGAATTTGGATCCACACATACTATTCTCATTAGGAATCAGGATGAAGTATCAACACATTGTCTTAGTGGCTGGTGGAAAAGGGATATGGGTGGGTAGTTGGAGAGTGGAATACATGACACTCTTTAACAGCAGCATTCAAATTTTTATTGAAAGGTGTAAAATATATGTGATCAACACTGTTACTTTCATTTGCAAATGGAATAAGCTAGGAAGTATAAAGACCTGTAGCTTGACTTTTTATCAAGATTATCTTATCAGGTTTCCACAGGTCTGGAATTTTCTTTCCACTGGATAGGAGTATGTAGTAGGAAGTCCAGTTGATAACATTTTTATTTTTTTAAAAACCAACATAATCAGACTGTCTTAGTCTTAAGGCTTTCTGGATTTCGTCCTTGGAGGAGGTCAGGATCTTCCCAAGGCCTCGGTCCTCGAATATTCTTCCAGTCATCAAAAGTGGAGTCCTTTATTTTCTACAGAACCACAAAAATTAAAGTATATTTATTAGTGCAAGAGCCCTGTGGCTATGATTAGGACATCACTGAATAAATGAATAAGTGATTGAGTGGAAAGAATCCAAAAGGCCTCAATTACAATTTTAGCAAATAAATCAACTGCAGACCAAACATGATAATTAAAGAAATGTCATATTTCTTAGGAGTTCAGAACTTTTGTTGCTTGCCATTGATGTTACTGCCTATCTTTTCCCCATAACAATAAAACTATTAAAATAGAAAAACTCTAGATGCCTTATTTTTGAGTGCATAAAGAATGGAAAAACAAAATCCAAATCTGAAGGCTGATCCAGCATAATGATGACTTAAAGGGTTAGCACGGGTGATGGTAGAAAATGAGAGGGAAAAAACCAAAGGTGGAGACCTCAATGTATTCTACAAGGAAGAAAAGAGACCAAGATAATTTGTCTTGCACCTGAAAAATGAGCCTGGGCTTAAGAATGAAAAGACTTTCCCCACAACTACCTATTTTGGGCAATTGAAACTAGTTTCAACTACACTTTGGATCATCTTACCTTCATTTAGTCTGAAGTGTCTCTCAAGCACAGGAATGAAGGCAGGATAAAAGGGAAGAACATAAATGTTTCTTCACCCTTCTACTAACCACCACTCTGATAGTAACTTTTATACATTTGCTGTTCTAGAATAATTCAGTAAAATAGAAAACAAGCTGAGATAACACAGGATAGCTTATATCCAGAGACAGGAAAAATAGTATAAATTTACCCTGACGCTTTGATACTAAGCATTACTCTTTTATTAACTAGTTGTATACCTTTGGCAAGTGATTTAAGCCATCTGGGCATTAATTCCAACATAAGTAATAATAAAATGCTGCTTCAGTTCTCAAATTCTATGGTTTCTAAGAGTTAGAAGGAAAATCTACTCACAGACAAACCCTCCATAGCATTGCTACTGGCATAGTACTTACACATCTACAAGTAGCAAGTTACACTTTTAGACCAAATAATGGGGATTCTTGTGAATAAAAACACTGCCTAAATTTCACTTTTAGTTTTACCAGGAGTCTGTATGAAATATATATGGAGAAACAAAATTCTACTAATTTAGCAAGATGAGGGTATTTTCAAGTGTAGTTATAAAATGATCTAAAGTTATTAAAAGGTTTTAATAAAAATGTGGCCATTATCTAGACAACATAAGATATATATACTTAGGAGAATTTACGACAGTTCTTAGATGAGATTCAAGGTTGACAGAACAAGTTCTCGCAAAAGTGGTCCAGTCTTTAGAGATCTTTAGTGAAGAAAAAATTCTCTGTACAATTCTGCATAACATACAGAGTGGCTGAAGACTCGGCTATGTACATGTGCTAGGTAAGACCACCTAAGGGTAACCATTTAATAGCCAACGACTATAGGACTAAGTGTAGAATAGAGTCAAGAAATGATGAGAAAAAGAAGTGTCAGGCATATTGAATTTTCAGTCCTACCAGAGTGGAGACCTCTCCTTAATACCTTGTTGCTACCTTGACATCCAGCTAAGGCACCAAAAAGGCTACTCCTTAGGAGTGAGGATTATGCCTGAGAATAAGCCCTACTTTAGACTCACCCCAACAAAACTTAATGCCAAGGCCTGACAAGATCCTCTGAGGAGACAGTTTAGAAATTGACTCCCATCAAGTTACAGGGGCCTAAGAAACACTGTAGCCTTTCCACAGATTCTCCCTTACAAAGCAAGTTCAAGATGCTCAGCCAATAGTTAAATTGCCTACTAAAATGAAAATCAGCACTCTTTAGCAGTCTCTTTAATGTGTTATTGACAATGTTCACTTTTCAATAAAAAATAACCAGACATACAAAGAAAGAAGAAAATATAATCCAGTAAAACATAAGAAAACCTTAATAGATGGAGAACATCCTCCCTCACCAAATCCCATAATATAATGTGCTATTAAACTCTTTGATTTTTGCTAATCAAATGGGTGAAAAATGACACTTCATTATAACTTCAATTGACATTCCTATTATTATAAGTTGAGGATCTCTTCCTATGTTTAAGAAGAATACTTATTTCCCCTAAACTCCTTACATACTTTGTCCATGTTCCTATTGACCAAGCAAGTTCTTGAATTTTTTCTTATTGATTTGTAGGTGCTCTTCATATTTAAACAATTCACCATGATAAGACAAACTGTATTTAGGATTTCTAATTTAACTTGTGACTTTATATACATTAATTTTTTTAGGCTGAACTTTTGAAATTGTATGTATGAATTCATCAATCTCTACTTCTACAGCTTCTGGGTTTTTCTTTTCTTTTTATTTTTAAATCACATTTAAATAGGCTTTTCTGACTCAAGACCACAAAAAAAAATCTCCATATTTTTTTTTCTCCTAGTCCTTTTGGCATTTTGTTTTTTATTTTTAAATTCTTGATCTGGAATTCATTTGTTTGTAGTATATAAAATATAGATCCAGAGGTCCTGAGGCATGAAGCTGGGGACCTAACCTCCGCCCACAACCAGGCATACCGCCAGCGCCACACGGCCTGCCTAGGGTCCTGAGGTATGGAGCGAGGGACCGGACCCTCTGCCCACAACCAGGCACACCACCAGCATCACGAGGCCTACCTGGGGTCCTGAGGCATTGAGCCGGGGACTGGATCCTTCTCCCACAACCAGGCACACTGCCAGAGCCATGGGGACCACCTGGGGTCCTGAGGCATGGAGTCAGGGACCGGACCCCCTCCCACAACCAGACACACTGCCAATGCCACCAGCAACTAGGTAAGGAGCATGCCAAAACATCACATCCATGTGGGTGGCCCACCACGGCCACCACAATAACCACGGCTGCTGCAAAAGTGGCTAGAAGCCACAATCACCGTGCAGATGGTCTGCCAGCCCCTGGAGTGCATTGACACAAGGCAATTCACCAGCAGAGATAAAAGAAAAGAAGAGGATGTCTCTCTCCACAAAGCCCATTCCAGAGAGACAGAAGAAGCATTTGCTCTATGATAATATTGGGGGACCTGAACACACCTCTCAGCATTGGACAGATCATCTAGGCAATAAATCAAAAGAGTAACCATTACTCTTTCAGAAGGAGAGATGAAATCTAGGGTTATCAGAGGTGAGAGGAGGGAAGGAGAGGGGGCTGGGGAGAGATTGGTCAAGGGGCATAAAGAATAAGTACGCTTTGTAACTATATATATATATATATATATATATATATATATATATATATATATATTTATATATATAATTAGTAATATTGATTTGATCAACATATGTCAATGTTGAACCCCCAAAATATGTATAATCAATTATGATTCAATAAAAATTTTAAAATATAGATCCATCTTTATTTTCTTTCCAAATGACTATATAGTTTACCAAATACCATATATTCAACATAAATAATTTTTTCTGTACTACTAATAATTTAAGTTTATAATAAGACAGATAGACACAATCTCTAGTAAGACTGTTACAAAACAGAGACTACATTAATATACTGTACCTCATACTCTGACTCTAAAGATACTTTACTCATTTTCAGTTTTTTTTCCAATTCAGGATCAATCTGTAGAAAAGAGATAGGAGCCATAAGTTATTTAAGTTTGTTAGATGTGATTTTCAACTTTAAAAATTATAGAAGGCATGGCTGAGATAGTATGATTGATTACAAACATATGGCATAATCTCTACCATCCACTCCAATCACATAATAACTAATGTACTACTACCACCACTACCACAACTAATAGCAGCTAATATTTACTAAGCATTTCTTTGTGCCAGAATTTTGACATATATTATCTTGCTTAATTCTCACAAAATCTAAGAGGTAAGTATTATTACTATCCGTATTATCACAAGTAAGGAAAATGGGACTAGGAAGTTTAAATAACTTGTCAAAGAGGCAGAGCTTAGCTTTGACCACTGGCCCTTTGCCTCCAGAGTCCACACTATTAACCACCAACCTAAATTATGATACATAGCAATGATACAAAAAAGACTATTAAATATAATGCTACACTTGAAAAGAAAAAAGAACACCTTCCATAAAGAACACCTTCTTTAGAAATAAAGAGATATCTATATGAAAAAATTAGGATTCTATAGTGGTAAATAGGAGCTGATGTCATGTTACTTGTGTTGGCAAAGAATGTGATCGCTGAAATTAATAAACAAACAACAACAACCAGAAAAAAAAAACCCAAATTAAATTAAATTAAATTAAATAGCTGAATGGTGAGTGACTGAACATATTTTAGACTAAATACTGGTGTTCTGAGGAGAGATGAATAAACATGATTGACTTAAAAGTACTTGCCTGTCTCACCTTGGACCTGTAAAATTCAGTCTTCATATGTGTTTTCACATCCCTGTCTCTACCATGCCCAATCTCAATTTCTTTTTTGCACACTGTGTAGTATGCTCTGTTTTGGTCATTTAACTCCCTAGTCCAGTTGTATGTGTTCTTTCATCTCTCATTAAAATAACAGACTCATTTAGCTTTCTTTTTCAGTTGACGTCTGGATCATACTGGCATTGGTATTGTAATTGTTCTCATTTTTATTATCTGAATCTTAGAAAACATAGTCACGATATTTATAATGTTAAAAATTAAGCTAGCACTGTCTTTACAAAGCACAACAGACAGGCAAAGTCAAAGACTATTTCTGCTTATGATTGCAACGTACTTAAATTGGATCACTTAGTGTGATGCAACAATGGATGATTTGTGGTTGTTAGCATCAGCACCCAGAATAAAAAACAGCAACAGCCACTAGGGACAGCAGATAAACTATGCCATATCTATTTCACACTAAAAATTGAAAGTTGTTGTTTTCAGCTTGTATTTTTTTGGCCCAAATTATGGGTCTTGTGCTTTCCTCTCAACTTTCCACACCCATCACTGAAAAGCACGGATTTTTGTGTCCTGAGATGCCGAACTTTCAGTACTAAAATCAGGACAGTCTAAGGCAAATTAGGATGGCTGGTCACCCCAAATTCATACTGTCTTTTTCCACCTGTCTACAAACTTCTCAACTGAACTTATCCTCTTCTTGATCCTTCTCAACTGACACTGTCTTCTAGATCCCAGTTTCAAACCCCTTTGACCTCAGCAATCTTGCCCTCTTGACCATCCCCGCCTTGACCTCAACTTCTCAATCCTTGTAACTGCTGTCAACTTCAACCAATTTTTTCTTCTCAGTCCTTAAGAACCAAATTCATCCTCTCAATTCCTCTCGACATCAGCCTACCTCATCCTTTCTACCTTGTTTAAACTCAACCTCACCCAACCACTGATTCTTGACTTCACTGGAATTTGACTTCTCAATATCAATCAACCTTGACCTCTCAATCTCAGTAGGCCATGTTCTCTCATCCCTCTCACCTCAACCTTTTCCTCTCATCCCACTCCTATAGACGTTAACAAACCTCATATTTTAAACCTTATTCTCTGGACTTCAAATGACCTTGTCCTCCCAGCTTTAATCAACATCATTCTCTTGTTCTCTTTACTTTGACCCCATCTTCCAGACCTCTCCTGTTATCTCAACCTCCCTTACCCTCTCTCCTTAACTGGGTGACTAGAATAACCATTTATCCAGTCCTCAAAACCAAAACCTTGAGTCATCTCAGATTTATTCCCTTTTATATTACATACATCAGTCATCAAATACTCTCAATTTACTGCTAAAATTTTATTTAGAACCCATTCATTTCTCTTTATCATCACTGCAAATGTTTTATTTCAGGTTTCAGTATTGTTCATTTATACTACTACAACAGAGTCCTAACAGGTCTCTTTACTTCCAATCTAAACAATCTCTTCCCTTCTGCCTTGCTCCCACAATTCCCATCCACCCTATACTCCACTGTCAGAGAGCTATTTCTAAAATGAAAATCTGACCGTATGCCCAATACTCCCTCTACCTTAAAGAATATAAATCACTTCTATCATTTAGCTAACTCCTACTCATTCTTAAAGCCTAATTCAAGGGTTGATATTTTTAGTAATAAACCTTCTCTAATTTTCCTTTCCCAAGTCTAAATCATATGCCTTTCCTTGAAGTTCTAGTAATGTTTTATATAGAATTCTAATATAGCATTTTACTGGGCATTGGAATATGTTTGGGTACATTTTTACATTATATGTCTTTGAGCCTTGATTATGCCATAGGTTTTGTTAAGAACCAGTTTCTTGCCACTTTATCTGCAGGCTCTAACAGATGATTAACACATAATAAATATTCAATTATTTTTCAAATACATACACGTTCTCCCACTTCTAAAAGTGTGATTACTATAACTTTCATTTTAAAGGAAAAGAGAAAAAATTCTTTGATGAAGTAATTGGGATGCTAACTGAAGCCTTTTAAGACAGTTAAACTGAAAATAGTTAGTTAACTAAAAACTGACTAACTGAAATTGTTCAATTATCTACAAATTGTTCTATTCCCTCATAGAAACTACATAAAGTTAGTATTTAATCTCTAGTGTCTTTAAGACTAGCTGGAGTTGATTTTCTCAAACCATAAAATTAACTGAGAAAACTGAATAGGCCTTTATACTCTTTGCCTTCCCACTAATGTTACCAAGGTCTGCCAATGAAATACATACAAAGGTACCTCAAAAAGTTTGTGGAAAAACGGAATTAAAAGATAATACAGGGGTGGCTGGTTAGCTGTCTTGGTCAGAGCGTGGTGCTAATAACACCAAGGTCAAGGGTTTGAATCTCTGTACCTGCCAGCCGCTAAAAAAAAAACCAACAACCCAGTAATACAAATCTTTCCATGAACTTTTTGAAGACCCGTCATATACTACTTGGAAAAAACTTCAAATATCACATATGTGCCATAAACAAAAACTATTTACTTCTGTATGACTGAACCAGAGTTCTTATGTAACAGCTGGCCTGAATTTCACAGTAATCGTGCAATCATAGAAGGTAAGAATCCTAGCTCTACAGTCATGTAACCTTAGGCAAAATACTTAAGCTCAGTTTTCTCATCTGTAAAATAAAGACAGTAATATGTATAGGAACTAGTAGAGTCCTACCACAAAGTAGATACTATGAGAAGATAGGCATCTTTATTTATAATGAAAAATAATTTTGTTTTCTTTTAGTGTCAGTTACTAAAGATACATATCAATATAATTTACAAATTACTGATATTAATATGAAATAACTAATTTATAATTGGAGAAATAAAATGAACTGAAATTGTTGACCTATGTTCTTTCTTTAGTCCCTTCTAAATCCTAAAAACAGCTACATCAGAGCATATTCTGTGGCAGAAAGCTAAGCAATATTGCCAATTTTGTAGTGAATAAGGAGACAGGTTACTAAATCTTTTACATTTCATGGTTCACTTCCATGTGATCATTAATGTTGTTTTAAAAATTAAGAATTAAGAGCACAAAGATCATACGTTAGCTTTGAAAAGCACGACAAACTCAGACTGCTTAGTATACTGAGTATAACTTTCTCCTAAACCAGACACACATATACTCAGGCACATGTCAAACTCCAATTACAGTTCTTACCTTACTCTTTACAGCATCATATCGGATTTGTGAAAACTCACGAAGACCAAAAGAACCTCCAACAATCAGCAACTGAAACAAAGATAGGAAACAATTAATCAAAACAGAAGGGTACAATTCAGCCTATTTATAGATTACTTATCTAAACAATAACATGAAAAAGACCTTAGCCAGAGAACAGCCATCTTTGGGGTAACTAGGACCAAGCAGAAAATTTCAGTTAGCCATAAACTTGGGAACTGGCAATCATCAATTTTTTCAGGTTAGCAGAGGAAATGAGAAACTGCCCATATGGCTGAAACTGCCTAAAGATGAAATCTTGCTCCCAAAGTATCCTTCTTAAAAGTTTATTTCTGTTTGTCTCCCATTACATTCTCTTACGCTGATTTACTTTAGATGTTGCGCACCTAAAATTAAGAATTAAAACTGAGTTTTATTGTTTTTCTTACCTCCCTAATCAACTACAAACAGAGGAAATCCAAGAGAAAGGATTATTAACTCACCATCTTGCTTAAAGGAAAATTGCATCCACATTAGTTAGAGGTATGAGTCAGATATTTTTATGTTCCAGTGATGCTTGACTGAGGTTACTGTCTTAGAGCTCTCCCTAGGAGATAAGGACTCCAACCCTGAAATAACATCAAGAGCTTGAAGATGACCACTCCACCAACTGCAGAGTCTGACATCATGAGACCCTAACGTTTGACTCAGATCTTCTTCTGATCCCATGACCATGTCCCACAGGACAAAACTCTTACCTCACCTTCCCGCCTCTTCCCCTTTATAACCCCAGAACAGGTATCAGAAGGCAGGATGATTTCAGCCTCGTTATCCCCCAGATGCTAGGACAAAACTCTTACCTCACCTTCCCGCCTCTTCCCCTTTATAACCCCAGAACAGGTATCAAAAGGCAGGATGATTTCAGCCTCGTTATCCCCCAGATGCTGGTTATCTAATAAACCTTCCAAACCTTGCACCAACTTTTGAGCCATTTGTTTAGTGTGAGAGGGCAAGCCAAGCCTGGCTTCCAGTAACAAACAGAGACACAGATTATACAAAATCCTATAGGCTATTTTTCCTGGTAATTTACTATTTATCTTTTCACAGTAAGTGTAATATATACTGTTTTGGAAACATTACAGTACATCACTACCAAATACCAAAATCAGCACCCCATACCTGTACTTGATTTTATGGTTTAAATGACATCATGACAAGCATTGTATTATTTGATCCTTACAACAGATCTATCAGCTAAGGAAAAGAACAAAAACAAAAACAAAACCCAAAGCATTTAACAAATGAGGAAATAAAAGCACAGTCAACTAAATGACATGCCCATTGTTAACTCAGATTTGGCCTGAGGCTGTCTCTACTTTAAGTTCCTCAGAAACCTAACTTAGTAGATAATAAACCTGATTACCAACTGGTCAGACCTTGTCCAAATAGGGCAAATACTTAGCTATAACCAACCAAGCTACTTCTGTACTTTACTTCTTTGTTCTGTCTATACTCACAGCCCTTGTTGCAGAGCAGTGCTCTCTGAACCTCTTCTAGTTCTGAGTGTTGCTTCATTCATGAATCCTCTTTGCTCAATAAACTCCATAAAACTTTTGTTCAAATTTTTTCTTTTAACGCCATTATTACACAGGGTAGTCCCAGGAATAAAAATCTGGCCTTGTTCCTTCAGGATCAGAATTCTTTCAATTTTATGATTTTGCAAAATAATCCAATTTGAGAGTGTGGTGGTCTGCTGTGGCTAATGTCTGGAATCCTGTCGACATCGCCAATTGTCTAGCTCTTAATTCTGTTCGTGAAGCCAATTGTAAAGCTAGGCGACCACGCTAGTTGTTGGGCTCTTTTACCTTCCGGTTATCCTGCCACCAACTAGGCTGACTGTTGAGCTAGGGCTGGGTCTGGAGCTCCCAGATCCCTCAAGCCCATTCACAGACTGGGTCACAAACCCTTCATATGCCAGGCTGGGTCTGTCTCTGTCTCTGTCTCTCTCTGTCTCCCCTCTCAACAGAGAGCACTGTCCCTCATTTTCTTATCAAGTGATAAAGGAATCTCATGAAATATGCCACATTTCTCACTGTGTAGTAAACCTTAAAAGATCCCCCAAACTGTCACTGCTGCTTCATCATCTTGTCCAAAAATCTAATTGGCTTTGATCCCTTTTCCTATAGATGCAAAAGTCTAGTCATCTGAAAAAAAATAAAGTTTGATCTCACCTTCCTTTTTATGTAAATATGTTCATATTACCGATTTAAGAATTAAATAAAAAAGACATAAAACATTATAAAGCATATTTTATAACTCTGAAGTTGTGAATACTAACAAAACCTTGAGGCTATGAATTTCAAAACCCATTAAATGAGATCACATAAAAATTTAAACCTTCAATCCTGAGAAATAAATAAAATAAAAACAACATAAAATCAAAATACAACAAATCAGGAAAAATATTTGACATGTATAAACAGCTAATATCTGCAATGTCAATATGTAAGAATGCTTTGTATAGGTAAAATAACTTTTATATTTTAGTTTCAATGAAAAGACACACCCCTGGTTTTCTTACTTCCTCTCAATCTCCTTTTATTCATTCTTCCTCACCTTTCCAACCAAACATTACACTGAACTGTAGACCTGCCTTCCTATTTGACATCTCCACTTGAAAGTCTAAGAGGTATATACAAATTAATATAAAAGAATAACTCTTGATCCTTATCCCAATCCTCTTTCTGTCCCAACCTGCCTCTAACCAATCTTTCACATCCCAATAAATGTCAATTACTTTCTTTTTTTTTTTTTCCTTTTTGTCTTTTTTCGTGACCGGCAACGGATCGCAACCCTCAGTGTCGCACCCGTACCGGACCCTGACCGGCAATGGGATCGCAACCCTCGGTGTTGCGCCCGCACCTCGCTCAGCCAGTGAGTCGCTGGTCTGTATGTGGGATCCGAACCCTCGGCAGGAGCGCCGCTACACTCCCAAGCAGCGAACTGTAGCAGTGCGCCACTGGGCCGGCCCTCAATTACTTTCATCCAATTCCTCAAGTCCGGTCTGTATGTGGGATCCGAACCCTCGGCAGGAGCGCCGCTACACTCCCAAGCGGCGAACTGTAGCAGTGCGCCACTGGGCCGGCCCTCAATTACTTTCATCCAATTCCTCAAGTCAACTTCTTTGAAGTCATCTTTAGCTCCTCATTCATATATCACAAGTAATCCATCCCTGAGTTCTGTCACCTCTACTTTCAAAATATTTCTTGAATATGACAATTTCTGACTATATCCTCTTCTAATACCCTCTTCTAATTCAGGCCACCATCATCTCTTTCTTGGACTACTGCAATCACAGTACCCAGCATAATAAAGAATTTGTCTGATCTATGTCTTGGGTTCCTAGGAAGGAGCTTTTAACTTGGAATTTCCTGAGTGATAGGAGTATCTGTTATTCATGGTGGGCCCCTGGGACAACACCTGAGTTTATGCTCATGAAGTGACTCATGGTAGCGCCTAGATGGTTTCAGGATAGAGGCTGGCCATGCTGGAAAGACCAACCATGTGACTAAAGGGTTGAGGGTTTGAGCTACATGATATCAATCTGACCTCCATACCACCAGGGAGGGGAGAGGGGCCGGACACTGTTCAATCATGAAGCCAATGATTCAATCACCCACGCCACTGTAATGAAACCCCAATAAAAATAATAGACACTGAAGCTTGGTTGAGCTGGTTGTTGAACACATCAGTGTGCTGGGAGGCTGACACACCCTGATTCTATGGGGAGAGGACAGAACTTCTGTTTTAAGGCCCTCCCAGACTTTGCCCTATGGGTCTCTTCTTCGGCCTGTTCCTAATTTGTGCCCTTTATAATAAAACTGTAATTGTAAATATAGTGCTCTCCTGAGTCTGATTCCTTCTAGTAAATTACTGAACCTGAGGGGGTAGTGGGAACACCCAAATTTGTAACTAGTTGGTCAGAAGAACTGATGGCCTGAGAATCCCAGAGTTTTCACCTAGTATCTGAAGTGAGGGGAGTTTTGTGGAGGACTGTGTCTAGTAAGTGTGTGCATGTATGTGTGCCTAGTTAGCATCTAAACTGCAATGCACCACCTACCACTTGTTACCATAGAATCCACACTAATTAAATATCTTCATTTGTACTCTAGATCCCATCTTCCCTTAGCTACTGAAGGACACTGATTCATCAATTCTCCCCTTTCCTGTATCATCAAAATCTTGCTCACCACTACATAATTCATCATTAAAAATGCTATTATTTCTCCTATCTTATTAACAGATTTTTTTAGATCTCACTTCCTCACCAGTTACTAACCTATTTCTTTATTCGTAACAGCAGTAAAATTTCTCAAATGAGTTGTCTATATTCACTGCTCCTCCCACTGTGTCTTAGACCCATTCCAACCATCAATGACATCTACATTACTAAATCCAATGGTTAATTCTCTGTTCTCATCTTATTTCATGAACAAAATTTGACAGTCGATCATGCTCTACTCCTCTTCCCTTACACCTGGTTTTTATTTAGCCTCCGAGTCATTCCTGCTTAGTCTCCTTTATTGGTTCCTCCTGTACACCCCAACCCTATAATGTTGACATCCCCCAGGGCACAGTGTTTTGTCTTCTCTATCTATATTCACTTCTTTTATGATTCAATCAATCCTATGGCTTTAAAAACATTTATATATCGATTACAACATTCCACACTGATGTGCTCAAGCAGGAGCCCCAGTGGCACCAGGTGAACAAAGCAGACCAGATTAGCACTGCAAAGGCTCTGGAACCTAAATTATCAGGACAGCCCCAAATAGCAGGCTAAACCTAAACATGGTGACTGCCTGCTAAAGCAGAAGACTTACACAGATTATAGTTTCCTAACATAATATTCAAAATGTCCAACAATAAAAACTCACATGTCATAACAAGAACAAGGAAAATAACACCTTGAATTTAAAAAGACTATCAAGAGATGCTAACATAGACACAAATCAGACGTTGGAATTACCTCACAAAGATTTTAAAGAAACCATTATAAAAATGCTTCAAAGAGCAATTATCAATTTTCTTGAAACAAATGAAAAGCTAGAAAACCTCACCAAAGACAGAAAACATAAAAAAGAACCAAAGGGTGACATCAGTGAAATGGCGGAGTAAGTACCTCCAAAAATCTCCTCCATAAAAGCTATAAGAACGCTTGAAAAAAACTGTCAAATCAACTTTTTCAGAACTCTGGAAATTAAGCAAAGGCTTGCAGCAATGTGGGGAGCATTTACTTTAAAAAAAATGATTGAATCTCAGGAAGAACAGAAAGCTTGGTGGCATTTTTAACTTGCCCTATTCTCACTTCTTACCCCAGCTCCATGATAACCATGAAAACTAACAGTCTGCCATCACAGTGTAAAGCCTGGCAACCACTGAAGGGGGCAGAATGGGGTTGAAGCTCCTTAAAATCCCATTCTCTGAGAATTGTCATTATTTGACCAGTCTGGTGGTTCCTGAAAGAACCCACTCACAAGGCTATTTTTAGTTTACCTCACTTGGAGCTCAACCAGTATGCACAGACTTCTACCTGGAGGTGTTTGCTGAAAAAAAATCAGAGGCAACTGTTTAACATTATGACTGCCAGAGCTGGTGGGTAACAGTTAAGGCAAACAATAGGCTAGCCAAAAAGCTTCAAAAGAAAATGTGAGAAATAAGGTGTCCATGGAACACTTTGAAAAGCTCAAACATATTCCTGAGAATTTAGAAAACCAGACACATGAACAGAACTGTGTGCATGCCCAGAGCAGTGTGTATGTTCAGGAAAGACCTGAGAAGGCCCTAAACTCTCACCTATAGCTAACCTTGAAGCGCTGAGCAAACAAAAAGTGAAGGCTTAAGGTGGAGCAGTAAATCACATGGCTGAATGTTGAAGGAATGTCCAAGCAAGCATGCAGAGCCCCACAACAAAGATTGAGAGACTTGCTGGTCTAAGCAAACCTCTGCCCAATAAAAGGAAAAATAGTTTAATTTAAAAAATGGGGAAAATATTTGGACAGATATTTCTCCAAAGAAGATATACACACAACCAATAAACATTTGAAAAGATGCTCAACATCATTAGTCTTTAGGGAAATGCAAAATCAAAACCACAATAAGATACCATTTCACACCCACTAGAAAGGGTAATTATAAAAAAGATGGACAATAACAAGTGTTGACAAGGATGTGGAGAAATTGAAAACCTCATACACTTCTGGTGGCAATGTAAAATGATGCAGCCACTTTGGAAAACAGTTTGGCAGTTTCTCAAAAGTTAAACATGGAGTTACCATATGACTCAGCAATTCTACTTTGTTGGTATACACCCAAGAGAAACGAAAGCTACTTCCACAAAAAAATGTGTACACATATGTTCATAGTTTCATTATTCATAGTCGCCAAAAAATGGAAACAACCCAAATGTTCATCAATGGATAAATGGATAGACAAAATGTACATCCAAACAATGGAATATTATACAGACATAAAAAGGAATGAAGTATTCATACATGTTACAGTGTGAATGAACCTTGGAAACATTATTCTAAATGAATGAAGCCAATCACAAGAGACCACATGTATTATTCTAATATGAATGTCCAGAATAAGCAAATCTACTGACAGAAGAAGAACAGTGGTTGCCTGTAGTGGGATAAGGAGCAGGGGAGAATGGGAAGTGACTATTAATTGTTATGATGTTTCTTTTGGGGTGATGAAAGTGTTCTAAAATTAGATGACCATGATGATGGCTGCATAACAGAATATACCAAAAACAACGGAATTAATACTGTAAGTGGGTGAATTTTTTGATGTGTAGGAACAAGAATGTCACTGGTCAGATTAGAAGGGTAAATTCTGGGGACTAAATGGGCACTATGGAAGATGAAATAACACATATAGTCTCTTTTTCAAGTGGTTTAGAAGAGAAGGGAAGAAGAGATTATTAGCATATACCTGGTATTGCAAATCCTCTTCTGTATGTTGTTAATAAAGACTCTCACGAAGCATTAATATTTGTCCAAGAGAGGAAATAATATGAAGTTAAAGATAAATGTAGAATAGTAATTATGGCACATTTGACTGATGCACGATGAAGAAGTTGTATCTTTTGAATTCTTGCCAGTGGTGTTGGGTTTTAGAGTACTGAATGCAGGATTTTCCTCTACAAAATTATTTACATGTTTAGGGCCCATATTCAGAAACATGGTTCCCTAGGTCCAGTATAGACACAGGAGGCAGTTTAGAGTAACATACTTAGGAAAAAGGCTTCTGTGGTACTTTCCAGTCCATGAACTAAAACAAAGGAGGAAAACCCTAGAAAGCACTTCGATGCATAGTGGTTTTAAGACCTTGGCTTTCATGATTTCGAAAGGTAAGAAGCCAAATCAAACTGCTTCCATTGGACATGCTGGTGACCTAAAGCCAATGCCCACAGTAACAATGCTTCCGAATAGCCCTCCCTTTAGGGACGGAAGAATCTGTAGGGAGGATAGTATTTACACATGCCTTGTCATCTGCATAAATATAATTACTGTGTTATCTTTTAAAGACAAACAGTTATCTTTAAACTCTTTTAAAAATATATAAGAAGTTTTCTAAAGATGAAAAAATCCAGATTCATCAAAAATGAGTTTTAAAAAAAACAACCCATTACCTTTCTAAGATCACTTCTGTCCTTTAGTTCTGCATCAGTGCAAAAGCTGGTAACCTCACCTGTGCAAAAATCCACACCAAAGTAATAAACTACTCTGTACTTAAAAGAAAGCAGGTTTTGTTCATATGCTTTACATAAATCATTTGGTGACATCAAGGTTTGCTGAAGCAAAATAACTTGCCCATGGTCAAACAGCAAATAAAAGGAGTTGCCCAGATTCCAACTCTGACTGGTCTTATGTCAGCCACAACCTGCATTTTCATGACATCTTCAGGGAATTCAGTGTAGAACCGGAGGCGACCATATAAACACGAAAGCTGCTAAGTGCTTTAGAAATATAAACTATAACACAGCGATCACTTAAGAGCTGCTACAACGTGGCAGTTACCGTGCTAAACACTTTATTCACAAAGTTCATAGCAACACTGGAAGAATTTTCACAAACTAGGAAGCTGAAACCAGGAGACACCAGAAATCGTACAGTTAAATTAAATACATCTAGTCCAAATGATCCAGACTGTCATCAAAACCAGCGAGGGTTAAAAAAGTAAGTTTAGCAATCATCCAGACTTGGGCTAAACTCTGGTTCTGATACCGTTCTCTGAGCTTCCGTTTAACTCAACTGTGAATCGGGGACATTAACAACGACCGCGTTCGACGCTGGGAAAGATGCTACGCTCACAACTAGGCAGATCCTATTAACTACCAGGAAAGGGGAGAGAGAGACCGAGTTCCCCCTACGAGGTGGGGGTGGGGGGTGGGGGGTGGAGAACACTAGAAGAAAGACTGCCTGAAAGCTCTCAATCTATCGCCAGCCCCTTCCTGGCCCAGGTCCCGGTCCTCGGCCTCAAGGGCTAGATTCTCCGGAGCTTTGATGCAGTCAAGCAGGAGGTCCCGACCCTCCGGGAATCCCGGCCTCACTCCTGACTCCGCTCACCAACATGGGGACTCCGTAGCGAAGGGTCTTGTTCTTGCGCAAGGCGCGCATCGCCGCGGCTGCAAACATAACTTAACTCTCCGACTCGTTTAAACGCCCGATCTCAGCGGCTCAAGTTCCAGCCCAGACGAAGCCGCCCTTGACCCACCTCCTTTCCGTGGCTGTTCGTTGCGGGGTCCGTTACTGATAGTCCTCCGCCAGGCAAAAGCAATCGATTCATCGTAACATATTCGAGCGTCCGCCCAGAAATTGCGGCGTCCGCGCTTCGGTTCCGGACCGCCGGCGTGCAGTTGAGATGTAGGAACTTAAATCTGGTTCGCGGTCACGATCAAACTGATACAGAAACCGGTACCTCTCATGTTCTGGGTCTTGCCTAGTGTCTTCTTAGGATGTTCACTGGAACATAACAACTCAATAAAATCAGTTAAGGGCAAAAAAAAAAAAAAAAAAAAAAAATGGTATTTTGAAGCTAGTCCTCTAGTCTTTGTGCCTATTTGTGGGATGGGAAATGTACCAACTTAATGAAGATTTAAAAACAAAAATAATAAGTTGCTGGGAAGGTTAGATTGAATATAATCAGTGTAGTGTCTTATTAGTTATCACTGAATCTTTAATACTATTGGTTTTACTGCGAGATGGCCTGTAATCTTCATTTATGAATGCTTATTTCGCACTGATTCAACAACCCTACAGGCCACCTTTTTGCATGACATTGAAAGGTTCTAGGAACCTACAGATGAAAAGATATGACCACTACATTAAGGAAACTGGCGATCAAAAGGGCACACAGACATGTGTAAATTATTGTGATAGTTTAGGAAACAGCCCCCACTTGTACCATTTGCCAGGGTGCAGAAGAAGCCTCACCTAGAGTGTAGGTGACATAGAGTAGCAGCTCCTGAAATTTGTCCATCTGTCCCTGCCTCTCTATTGCCACTGAAATGTTTCTGGTTTAATCCCTTATCATCTTTCCACCTATTAAAGTAGCCCCCTAAGTGGTCTCCAGAGGAGAAACTCCAGATCTACCTTTAGGATGCTCCAATGATATCCATGTCTATAAGACCATATGGTCAGAAAAAAAAAAAAAACCCACAAAAACACGAATATTAATTCTCAAGTCTATCTTCCATACTACCGAAAGTTATGTAAGAGACTTAAACAATGATGAGATTCTCCCGCTCTTCCATACTGTGTTCACTCCAATTTTCTTAGCAAGGAATTTAAGGCCTTATGTAACATGACTTTGGCCTGCCTTTTCTGCCACCATTCACTCCATACTCCACTGGAGGATATACTATTCCTTGAGTATTCCATGAACTTCCACATCTTCAAAATGCAGCTCTGGTGACTCTAGTTCTTGAAGCCTCCCTCAGTCCACAGGCAATGTAAATTATATTCCCTCTTTAGAGCTCCAGTAGCCTTTGACTAAATTATATAAAAGAGCACTGTCACACTGTATTATCATTTTTAGTGTATAAAGTCATTATTACTCTGACTGACATATAAGCAAGATGAAAACAAGAGAACAGGAAGAATACTTCAGAGGCTGAATTTGAATCTTGTTTGGGGGTGGTGGGGAGGGGGAAAGCATCACCTGCATTAAGCCAAGGGAGACTTGAGAGTGATCAGGTAAGGTTTACTAAAATAAGACTCTAATCCCACTTGGCTAAGGAAGAGAGAACTTGAACCTGGGGCCTGAAGCAGTAGAAAGGTGAGAGGACTTAGCCTGAGAGGTTAAGTTAAACTACACATTTGGGGATATAGGAAGAAAATTCCATAGATTTATGGGAAAGGATCTGAAACAGGAGAATTTAAGTTTGGAAGGATGGGTTTATAAATAGCATTGCTATGGCTTATGAACAGGGTTTCCGTTAATGTTGTTATTCCTTTGTACTTTCTTTTGGACTGACTTATGCTTTTTGTTATTTATTTGTTTAATTCATCTCTGTGCATAGATGGAACTATATAGGGCTACAGAGTTTATTAGAGAATGTATTGTGAAGTATGTAATATTTGTATATGGCATTGTCTCTTACCTTATTCACTTTCCTTTGATATTTCAAAACTCATGCAGCATCCAGGTTAGTTAAGTGTTTTGCTTCTCCCACTTTCTCTCAAATCATAAAAGCCAAGAGCACTGCTTCTTACTGTCTCTTCACTACATAAAACATCACCCTACTGGATCCTACTTCATCCAAGCCCTGCACTCACCTAGTAGTTAATAATGGGCTAAATCATATACAAATATTGTAGCCAATAATTGGTTATCCTTTTCAGGTAAGATATATCCAATTTAAGTGACTATAGGCCTTCAGCCTCTTGTTTGTTCAGTCATTCAAATAAGAATTTAATGAGAAACTAGAGATGGCCCTGAAGGAGAGTAACTGCAAATAGTAGGAATTATAAGTATGCTTGAAGATTGTCTGGGTACAAAATCTGGGGTGGTGAGGAATTTAAGCACCTATCAAATCATACTATATATGTCTGTGCGTTATATATGTGTCTCCATTGTCTGTGCATTGTGCTCACCTTAAGCATTACTACAGTATACCCCAGTTTCTCCATCTGTTAAATCAGAATAAGTTGATATTTGTCATCATTTTACAATTCTCACAAAAAATGAATTTCTCATCGGTAGGGCATCTGTTGCTTTCTCAGAAATATGACTCAAATTCCATATTGTATTTCCAGCATTAATAAACAGTTAAAGAGCCAGCCTGTGGCTTACTTAGGAGAGTGTGGTGCTGATAACACCAAAGCCACAGGTTCGGATCCCTATATGGGGATAGCCGGTTAGCTCACTGGGTGAGCATGGTGCTGACACCACCAAGTCAAGGGTTAAGATCCCCTTACCGGTCATCTTTATTTAAAAAAAAAAATTAAAATGTTGACTCGGCCATCTTAACCATCACACTTCCTAGTAGGAGGATACAAAAATTTATATCCAGGAAACAAGGGATCTCTATCACCTATGCCAGTCCCTCAGGATTAGTATGTCCTTGATATCTAAGTAAATTACATTATCCTCCAGTATCTGCTCTGCCAGTGTTTAACTCGTGCAAGAACATGGGAGCATTGTTACAAAAAACACCAGTCTTCTTGAGAGCATTAGCACTGAGGTTAGGTTTTACAATTATGGCCAAAATTCATGACTATGGTATGGAAAAATTAGTCATGTCATGAATCTTTGGTTTTGTAATGCCTTTAACATCTACTATCTAATTTGATTCACTTAAAAATCTTACAAAGTTTGGGAGAGCATGGTTCCATTTTCTCATTTTACATGTGAGAAAATCAAGGCCCAGAAAGATTATTAAGAGGCTTGCATGCTCTCTTGCTTGAAAAAAAAAGGGGGTCTGCATAAGGTAACACTTTGTGAAGTAGTACAAATATCCCAAATAGAGCTAAACTTCCCAAGGGTTTGAATCCCCATAATGGCCAGCCACCAAAAAAAATCACTAAACTTCCTATAGAATTTGACAATATTGACTATCTTCTTGAAATTCCCTCCTCCTGTGGCTTCCATGGATGTTTAACTGCCATGGATCCTCTCCCACTCTGAGACTTCTTTTTGTTTTCTTCAGCCTTGTAAACCTTAAACTAAAGTCCTTAGATCTCTTCCATTTTCTCCCTATGTCCCAGTGACTCTCAAACTTTAATGTGCACCAGAATCTCCCAAAGAGCTGTGAAAACACAGACTGCTGGGCCCCATCACCAGAGTTTCTGATTCAGTAGGTCAGGGGTGGGGCCTGGAAATCTGCTTTTCCAACAAACTTCCAGGTGACATGGATGCTGCCAGTCTGGGGACCACACTGTGAGAACCACTACTCTATCCTATTTCTCTAGGTAAACTTAACTTTCACCTGGGCTTCAAATTTTATCACAGTGTGAATGACTTCTGGTGCATTTCCAGGAGCCTGAATGGTTTTCTAACACCTCAAAGTCAACATGCCACAAAAATTCATTTTGGTCCTTGCTATGGGTTAAACATGTCCCCCAAAAGTTCACGTATTGGAAACTTGACCCCCATTGTATCAGGGTTAGGAGGGTGGGAAATCCAATCACAGTATTTGAAAGCTGGGGCATTAAGAGGTGATTAGATTGTGAGGAAAGTGCACTTGTGAATGGATTGATACATTCATGGAGTAACAGGCATGCTTCCGATGGCTTTAAAAGGAGAGCCATGAGGCTGGGGAGGCTGCTGCTCTGAGCCATCTGCCGCTGCCAGGCCCAGGCTGTGCCAGCAGCTGCCTTACATTGGCCTTGGGCTCAGGCTGGCCTCAGAACGTGTTGTTCTGGGCCAGGTGGACTTCTACTTGTGCTTCTTGCCATCCCCGCTCACCATGAAGCAGTTCCTGGGCTTCAGATTGTTGAATGCCTGTGAAAAGACCTCATTTATGTTTCTGCGGCAAGAGTTGCCTGTTGATTAGCAAATATAACAAAAGAAATGTCTCATTCCAGATAATCTTCTCAGGACACCATCCATTCAAATGGAACAAAGTTGGTATATCCAGAGTCTTCAAGATCTTCTTGATTTTTAAGGAGAAAAGCACTAAAGATGTTAAGGCTATTTATAACTTTACTGATAGTGCAATTAGATCAGGAACCAACACAAGTCATTCCCACAATGGCCCAGATGTGATTGAATAAAAGTAGAGAGCTTCAGGTGGTCCCTGTTACCAGCCAGAATGTTTAGTACTTTTTGGATCAATTCTACATGAGTCGCATTTCAATTGAAATGTTACTCAATCAATGCTCTCTATTGTTTGGTGGAAAAGGCAAAGGAAGTCTATCTCATCAAAAACACATTGGAAGCATAAATATGAACTGCAGCACAGTTGAGGTTGTTAAATACGGCTATGAGAATGCTAGGCATCTGTCATTTGTATGATATTAGAACTAGAACTGAACTAGAACTCGAAGAACTAAGTGCAAAATCACCAAGACAGCCAATACGAGTGGTTTATGTACCATCCCATCTCTATCACATGGTGTTCGAACTTTTCAATGCAGTGAGAGCAACTATGGAATACCGTGCTGGCAAAAGTGTTTATCCTCCTATTCAAGCTCATGTCACACTGGGTAATGAGGATTTGACTGTGAAGGTGAGTGACCAAGGAAGCGATGTTCCTTTGAGGAAAACTGACAGACTCTTCAACTGCGTGTATTCAACTGCACCCTGGCCTCATGTTGAGACT